TGGGGTCATCAGGATTTTGCCATCAACCCACCACCATGTATATGGTGAGCATGTTTTTGATCACTCAAAATCAGAGTGAACTGAAGACACTGTTTTAACCTGTAACAAAATAAGTACATTGGGCCTAACCTAATAATGAGTCGGTTAAACTGAGCTAAAAATTAGCACTGCATTGAAATTTATGCAGATCTGATGGCCGGCCAAGAAGCTCACGTGTACAAATATGCGGACAGATCACAGCTCTTCTATCAGTGCCAGATTAGTATCACAATCAAAGAACCAAATGCTGAATGCGCTCGGCCACAGTGCTCGGAGCCACAAGGATTTGGAGCGGTCAAGACCGGAGGTGCTGCCGCAAAGCCTGCTGCTGCTGCTCAACTACGTCTGCTCAAAAAGAGGGCTGCCGAACCGGAAAATACTGTTGATGTGCGAACTGATATCAGCGCACTTGAAATCAGCGACGATGTGAGTTTTATTTCACAGTAATATTCGTGTGATAGTAATCACTAACATAAGTTATGCATACAGATATTTTAAAGATCTTGGTATTCTGGACATTCGACAAATACTAATATTTTTAGTGTTTGGGCTACGTCTTTTAGAAACTTCTAGGGTAGAATTTTTAGTGTGGGAAAACGCTACAAAGCCTTAAAAAAATAATGCATTTACATCGATTGTTGAGATCAGGTCTGCAACACTCCGGCAGGCTTTTTTTGCGTGCAGCGCACCTTATTTGGCTGACAATGCTACGTTCATCTTATATTTCTATACAGCGGTGCTGTTAACAGTGAAATTGAAAAGCGTCGCTTTCACTGCTAACGGTGATGTGCACCTCCATCAGTGCAATAGCCAAAGGAGTTTCCAGAAAACTAATTCAATTTATAGCTTGCATTTGGCTGAACAAAAATACGAAAACTCATAGTGGACCAAAATCTTTGTAGCCATCTTCCAGCTCTGAAGCAGATAAGCTAACTTGCAATATGATATTTTCAGAGCCAAGCTCTGCCAGTAGATTTGCGTCACCGCGCTCGTCTGCGTCACGCTGGACAACCGGTTGTTTTGGCCACGGTGCAGGATGGAATTTGCATGTCACCGTTTGGTTTCTCGATGTTCATGGGCCTCGGTGTTGCACTGGTTGCTGCTACAATCGTCATCGTTTCTTTCAAACTTCGTCCAATACAGAAAGCATGAAGAAAATCCTACACGTCAACGCTTGCTTTCCCTCCCCTTACCAGTTTAATAATACATTCAAGTTGCGTCGCCGTATTTTTTCCAAAGTTATCAGACCGCCGTCTTCGGGAATCTATTGACTTAGAAGCAGTCAGCTCTGTACCCTTTTTGCTAGTATTGAGTCTTCCGAAGCTATTCTTGGTTAAGCAAACTTTTCGGCACCTGTTAATACATTACTAGGTTAATAAGAACTGATAATTGTTAAATCTTGGGCATCTTT